CCTTTGCGTTCGCCATCTCTACGGGACGGCTTAGGTCCATCGGGACCGTCCGGGGGAGGAGATATCAGCTGCCCTCCTGGGAGCCCAGGATCGCCCGCCGTATCGCCGCGACGCCAGCTCCGCCCTCCGTGGCTTTGTTCCTTATAGTAGCGTTGTCCACAACACCTCCCTTGTGGCCAGCCATTTCATTTTTCCACAAACTAAGCTGCTGTTCCATTTTTTTCCATCACACATCTCACAAACAACAGAAGTCACTTTAGCACTTTCTGGAGCAGCTTTGCGAACAGCTTTATGAATATTGTCTTCCTTATGGTGTATCGTATGGGTGGTTGATCATTTACATTGAATTGTCTGCCTATGGATGCTACAGAATTTCCAGAACGTAGCAAATCAAGCACTTGAATCTTATCCATTAGGTTCATTACAGAGTGTTTGTGCTTGGAAACACTTGTTAAAACAGTATCAATGGCACTTTGCTTCAATGCCATTGTTAAAATTAATTAAATTTTACCCCAAAAGAGTGAGAACATGTGAACTATTATCAGAACGGCATGGAGAACACAAGAAACACTGCACGAACAAGAATGCAGTTTCCCTTGGTTTAGCTTGTGTCACTGCTGTGTGGTACGGCTCTCTCTACTGTGCATAGCCACATATAGCTGTGTTGAGATCGTGTTTGATGAAAAATGGGTTACACTTATACTTCCACGTATAAGCGAATCCACGGAAACAGAATGCGTGGATAACGAGGATTGAGGGTACCTCTGTTTTATCTCTTCAACTGCTGTTTTTAACTCCACAAATTCAATCATTCTAAAATACTATATATCATAAGCAAGAGCGTTTAAGAATTCTATATTGCTGTCCCATCTTTCCTTGGGGGGGGTCAGTAATAAATTCTGTTTCTTGTTGCAATTGAGCTCCAAGAAGTTGTCCTCTCATTGGGTGATAAACAGTTTGCTGTTTTCTCTGTCTTTTTTGCCTTTGCACCCATAATTTTTCCCCACAGAGCAGTAATTTAAATGGAGAAAGGCAAAAGAAATGCTCTGTTTACTAATTAAGCAGCAAAGTGTTGAAAAGGTAAGGAGAGAGTCTCTTGGATTGGGAGAGTAACTAAGTTGTAACTTCAGCTACCCTTCATTCCAACTGGAAGTCTAGATATTTACTTCTGTTCCACATCATGATATTTAATTTCAGAGTAAGCGACGTTATGTAATCTCTGGAAAAGGCTCTAATGCTGGGAAAGGTGGAAGGAAAGAGAAGGGGACGAACAGCAGAAGGTGGATGGACTCAGTTATAGTGGTGATGGGGGCACCATTGGGAGACGTGAAAGGCAAGGTTAGGGATAGTTCGTCTTGGAGAAAATCTATCTATATGGATGCTAGGAGTCAAAACTGACTTGATGGCACATAATCCATCAACGTTATGCAAAACACAGAGGAAAAGGTGAGAAAATAAATAAAAGGCAGGACATCAGAGAAAAGAAAAGGAAACAGTTGAATTTACTTTATACCAACATCAATCATTATACTCTCCATATGATCCATACCAAGCTTCCAAGAATTCTCTTGCATTTTTGGATTTAGCTTGGTCTAAGATGCTGACA